TTGGTTTTGCTGCATTTCAATGGTTGTTCGTTGTTGGGTCATTGTTTGTTGCCTTGGTGGAATTGTTCATTATGGCTGCATGATCTTGAGGTCTGTATTGTGAGTTTGTTGTGAACTCTGACATAATTTCTATTGCCATTATATTTGTAGTTCGGTTGTTTATTAGATTGATAATTTGGGATTTCTCTTGGGACTCTGTACTTGGGAGTTGCTTGTCATGTTTGTTTGAAGCTGATTACTCGTGACTCGATATGTGCGATTGTGAACAGAAGTTGGGCATCCGATTGGAAGTAAATTTGCTTGGATGTAAGTTTCTACCGGTCATTTCATTAGCCTTCTAATTAAGCTTTCACTTAGGTTGTGTGGTGTGTTGGTTGAGCTATGCTAGATGCATCTCTAAATCATATGAGTTTATGCCGATTGGAAATCATCTTCAGGAAAACAAATTCCTTGGTACGTTAACTTACACTATTGCACACTCTTGCAGTACTCGGTTCTATCATTTGTATGTCTCTTGATTTTGTGTGTGGGGGTGTCATTTGGGTTAGGGCTAATTGGCTAAACAGCATTGTAATTGTTGTTTGGTGGGACTGTTCATAACAACCTGAATATAGCCCTAGCACTTGTTTTCAAATTCCCATCTCATCAAGTATAATTGTTCTGTAGGCAATTCCGTTCATTTAATCATCCATTAATTTTGTAAGTAGTTATGATGAGTCTTTCCTAAGTACGGATATATGTTTAGAAGGGTTTAAGTTGCGGTGAGCGTTTTAATTTCTTGTGTGCTTGGTAGTTTCGAGTTTTATTTTGTTGATGATTGCTTCTCTTCGATTTCTTATTTGTAACCTAATTTCGTCTTTAGTCCGGTTAATTCCTTCCTATGCCCACATGAGGAGGTTCATCATTGGATCAGCACACTTACATGGGTATATGTGAGTGCGTGCAATTCAACGGTGATACCCCCCCCCCCTCCATGTAGGATCGAACATACCCTTTATTACCTTACAGCTTAGGAATGTTGAAGATTATCGAATTTTTTTAACGGTTTGAGGTTTAGGTGCTGTGTATGTTATTGTGTTGTATGTAGATGATGCCAACACGGTCGTACAACTGTCTACTTGATGCTTTTGGTATGATTGTTAACTTAATAGCTTTCCATAATATTCAAATAATGATTTTCTCAAAGGGGTGTAGTTTATTCTATGTTTGGAGTTTCTTGGTCTATTCCGCGATGGTTATATCTGAATGTGGCCCCTTTTGAATTAGCATGATGGCTGGTCTGATTGTAGTTCCACTCGAGTTGGGGCCTTAATGTCGGTATAAAACGATTTGGTCAGTCCTTTGAAGGACGAAGCATACATGACTTGATCGTTTAATCAAAGTTGCGACGGTTAGGGCAAAATGTTGTGAGAATTGGTTAAATTTTCAAATTTGATTTGACTTCAAATAAATTTAGTGCGTCCATTTGATTTGAATCGAAGCACCATTGTATGAGCTCTCTCTTAACATTCATTGAAGCGCAACTGTGGACGTTTGTTAATTTTGAGAAATGCTATAGATACATAATATTATACGTAATATTGTAAATAACACTAGTCCCCAATATATTTCTTTCAACGCAGATATTCCTAGAAGGGAAAAAATAAATAAACTTGAAAAATGTAATTTTGAGTAAAAAAAAAAACTTGAAAATTGATGCTATTCTTAAATATTGTGACCAAAATTCCGGAACAGCATATAATCATAAAGCTGAAAAGATTATCCCTTGCACAATTTTATTCATACCATTAAATAAATTTGATCATATAAAATAAAACGGTAAATATCAAATAAAAAATTCAATAAATTAAAGAAAAATGTCATGCATTTTTCGTGTCTGCACAAAACCCGAAAATATATTTCACGAGGGCAAAAATTAAGCTAAACTGCATAAAACCCGAAAATATATTTCACGAGAGCAAAAATTAAGCTAAACTATCTAAATCATGGCCGACACGGCGGAGAACGACCTGCAGCCACTAACTCCGGCCAGCCGCCTCTTCCTTCAGCCGCTGACCAACCAGGTCATCAACTGCGCTGTCGCCTGCGACCATCCCATCGACCCCGACGCCCTGAAAGCGGAGCTCCAAGACTCCGCCATCCTCACCCACCCAAGGTTCAGCAGCCTCCTCGTGACCGACACGCGCGGCCGCCAGCACTGGCGCCCGACCTGCGTCGACCTCGGCCGCCATGTCATCATCCGTCGGGAGCCCGTCTCCTCGGTCAATGGGTACGTCGCGGACCTCACGGTCTCGTCCCCGCTCGCCGCCGACAAGCCCCTGTGGGAGGTTCACGTGCTGGACAGGGCAGTGGTTTTCCGAGTGCACCACGCACTAGGGGACGGTGCCTCACTGATGTCGGTGCTGATGTCGTGCTGCCGGAGGACGGATGGTGATCTGGCTCGGTCGCGGGAGATGTTTGCCGCCACCGGCGGCAGAGGCGGCGGGAGGGGGTGGATATTTTGGACGGCGGTTAGGGTGGCATGGTTGACCTTGGTTTATGTTGTGGAGTTTGTTTTGAGGATGGTGTGGTTGAGGGACAGGGCCACGGTGGTTAGCGGCGGGGATGGGGTGGAGTTGTGGCCGAGGAGGCTGGCCACGGCGAGGTTCCGGTTGGATGATATGAAGGCCGTGAAAGGGGCGGTCGATGGTTCGGTGAGTTTTTTCTTTTCTTTTCTTTTTTTTTCCCTCGACATCAGCAAAATCAATTTAAAAATATGTGATTAAAAAAAATAGTAAAATTCAACATTCAATAACGTAACAATCCGACTAAATAATCGGTTTATAAATCACAAAATAGATTTACAATTAAGAGAACAAAAGAGTAAATCATTATAAGTATATTCTAAAACTTAATTAGAAAATTATAATGATTGGTAGTAAATTTTTCAATATTATTAATTTAAATTAAAATAGCATAGACAATAAGTTTTAATTATTAATATATTGTAAATGTTGTTTTGCATTTCTTTTTATATTTTATAAAATTTTCTTTATATATATATTGACTTAAAAGAAAAAAAGGCCCCCCCTCCTCTAGCTCCTTCTCTGCTTGTAGGTTTGGCTCGTTAAGGCTTAATTATTAATATATTGTAAATGTTGTTTTGCATTTCTTTTTATATTTTATAAGATTTTCTTTATATATATTGACTTAAAAGAAAAAAA